CCTGGGCCGGTTCGCCCCTCCTTCGGCAGCCTGGTGGTCCCTGCTCCAGGGAGGGCACCACGCTGATGCCGAACTTAGTGCAGACACCTGATCGGCATGGCGCACCACAGCCCGGAACTGGGCTCAAGGGACCCTCCTGCCTCAGCCTCCCAAGTAGCTGGTACTACAGGCTTGTAGGCCGCTAGGTGTATTTTGCCACCATTAAAAATGTTTTTTTAAAAAAAGAAAGAGACTTCTAATGTGACGTGCCATTATAATGCATGGGTTATTTTGTGAGGGCGGCCTCACCCCACCCTAATCCGGGGTGTTCAGATGCCAGGCAGTGAAAACAGTGGCAAAGCTGCCCTCGGAGGACCCGCCAGCAGTGAGATCGCATTTAAGGCCGTGACGCCGGATGAGAGGGAGAAGGCACGAGAGGGAAGGGAGCCGAGTGTGGAGAGGAGAGCAGACAGCTGCAGCAGCGGCCACCCAACCCACGCTGGCCAAGCAGCAGCCCGCCCTGGGGCTCTCCTCCCCGGAAGAACGGAGAGTCACCTCTCTCTGGCACAGATGCTGCGACGGGAGAGGCGCGGGAGCTGACGGCAGCCTTGTTTCCCACCAAGCGGAGGAAGCCGGTCCGCAGGAGGAGAAAATGAAGCTGCACAGAGAGGTGAGAGACGGAGCGAGAGGCCATCCCGCTGAGTTCGGGTGCCCAGGCTGTCGACTCAGGTGCCCCGGTGCCCCCTAACCTTCCCGAAGGGTGGCTGTTCTGCTCTTCCTTCCCTTGAGTGAGTCTCTCCAGACCCCTTCTAGGAAATTCCCATTTTGGCCCTCAGCCCCGAATTCCGCTTGGGTTTCTGTCACTTTTAACCCAAAGAGCCGTGAGTCTCCCACTGCGCTTTGTGCACGGCGAGTGCTGGGCGGGGAACGTGAACGGGTAACAGGTATCCCTGCAGTGGTCGTGCTCGCAGAGATGCTGGTGCAGGGCCCGAGGGACAGCTCCCGCTGCAGAGCCCTTTGTGACCCCGCACACTTCCTCCTGAGGATATCGTTTCGCAAGAGAGACAGAAACAGCTGCAGTTGGCAGATTGGAGGCGGAAAGTTTGCAGCTGTTCGCATACAATTGCTTAGAAGCCTCCCATACACAGAGAAACACACACGTAATCACACTTTTCAAATTATCGTCATTAGCATGATACTTAGCAACCACTTCTTGCGTTTTCATCATGTTCTGGACACAATGCCGAGTGCTTTGCTTTGATGGACATGCTTAATCTTCATCTGTTCCCATGAGGCAGCGTGGGCCCCGGGCACACAGCACTGGCATGGCCCACGAGCCCGGAGAAAAGCAGAATGCCAGGCCCCACTCCAGACCCACTGAGTCAGAATCGGCCTTATAACCCGATCCTCAAGGGACTCTTACCCACATGTTTGAGAAGTCCTGGTGCCAGGTAGACTACAGGACGCCCAGTTAAATTTGAACTCCAGACCAATGATGAGTCATTTTTTAGCATGAAAATTAGTATGTCCCAATACTTATCCAAAAAAAGAATTATCTGTTATTTTATTTGAAATACAATATAACTGAACGTCCTATAATATTTGCTAAATCTGCCAACCCTATGTGGAGGACCCTGTGGATGTCTCCTATAACATCCACTTTTCTTCACCTGCTTCCCCAGATTTCCACACCTCCTCTGGGCACGCCAAGTGCTGGGGGTTGGGGATATGAGAGGGAGGGGGACAATCCCACCTCTGCC